GTGACAGGGACTACAGATACAGGAGGATACGCTCACCATGTATGCCCTGGGCGGGTGACAGGGACTACAGATACAGGAGGATACGCTCACCATGTATGCCTTGGGCGGGTGACAGGGACTACAGATACAGGAGGATACGCTCACTCAAGCCATACCCCTTGGGCGGGTGACAGGGACTACAGATACAGCAGGATACGCTCACCATGTATACCTGATGTGGCGGGTGACTGGGACTACCGATACAGGAGGATACGCTCACCATGTATGCTTTGGGCGGGTGACAGGGATTACAGATACAGGAGGATACGCTTCGCCATGTATGCCCTGGGCTGATAGTGACAGGGACTATCGATACAGGAGGATACGCTCACCATGTATGCCCTGGGCTGGTTGACAGGGACTACCGATACATGTTATGAGAGGGTACCGGGTTTTTTATTATTTGTATTATCATTGATTAAGTGATAGTTGTTATTCGGTCACAATGTTTAAAGTTTTGAGAGTGCGTTGTGGGTCACATGTCATATCATATATATTGAATGGCAATATTATTTTAGCGGTACGTCTTTTGAAATAGCGCTCCAGCGTTGCCACCCTTGGCTTTATTTTTGTTGGACCGGTCGAACGTTGGAGAAAATGGCATCAAGTTCTGAGTGGAAATGATGCTGCCCACCTTTACTAGAATGCTCGAGAACTGTGTAAAAGCTATATAAAGGCTGGTTGTTGTGTTGTGCGGCACAGGACTCACACACGGATTTACACAGGACTTTTCATATCACAGGAGTTGTGTACATCTGTCTGCCATCGTTGATCAACATCGTCAAGACTTGCCGTCCCTGACTGTTCATCTACTCTCATTGTATACAACCTTCAATTAGTATATCTGCTCTCTCTGTAAATGTCAAGACTCTGGTGAGTTACTATTTTATATTTGTGGCCCATAACTTTAGATTTGTGACTAAATTGCATTGTACTAAATATCTGTAGTGTGATTCATTGTAGCTTGCTCATTGTTTGCTCAATATTTATATTTAATATTTTAGACTTGTCTGTGTTCTATTTTGCTGGTTCAAAGGGATTCTTAAACCTGTTGTCACGGCAATTTATTAATCGTAACAAAATAATTAACACTAGGCTCAGTATCTCATGTGCAAATAATGAAATTCTACCCGAAGAACAAAATGGTTTCAGAAAGAATTGGAGCTGCTTGTAACATATATATAGTTTAACAAGTATTATTAGAAACAGAAGAAATGCTAAACAGTCGACTTTCTGTTGTTTTATTGATATGAAAAAGGCTTTTTATAACGTCAACCGTGACTGTTTGTGGTTTAAACTCCAACGATTTGGTATCACCGGTAAACTCCTGGACGCAGTGAAGTCCTTGTATAGAGACGTAAAATACACGGTTAGATTAAATGGTCATCTATCACCCTGTTTAATGCACCTCGCGGAGTAAAGCAAGGATGTTTGATCTCATCGATGCTTTTTCACTCTATAGCAACGATCTTGTTGACTCCCTACAGGAGCTGAATAGTGGTACAATGGAAGAAATATCAGTATACTGTTGTATGCAGATGATGTTGTTCTGATCCCACCCAGGAGAAGAAGCTTCAGTGTTTACTAGGTCCAGTAAACTAGTGTCATAAATGGAGACTAAGGTTAATCTAAAGAAGACCACAATTTTACACTTGAGATGGAAGACTACAGTGCGTTCACATGAAAGGTTCGCCATTGGGGACATGAATGTTGAATACAGTGACAATTATAAATATCTTGGACTCTGGTTAAATGAATTTTTAGATTTTACAGTTGCGATAAATGAGCTGAGAAAGTCCGCTAGCCGCGCCCTTGGGGTTCTATGTCCTAAATATTCTGACGCTGGTGGTTTCACCTATGATATATTTACAATCCTTGTATGAGTCCCTTCTGCAACCAATAACTCTATACGGTAACGCCATCTGGAGTATGTATGAACAGAAGCGTCTAAATACAATTCAAAACAGAGCCAGCAAATTCTTCCTGGAACTGAGCCAGAACTCTCCTAATATTGCTGCAAGGGGTGATATGGTGTGGACCGCCAGTGTACCCAAACAGAGACTAGAAGTAAACAGATTCTTGGGACGCCTGAAGAGTATGTATCCATGATTGGTCTCTCCACATAAGTCATTCCTGGGAAAAAAACGTGTTTAAACTATCTAAAAACTCAATGTTCATGAGCAAATAAACAAATCTACAATAGACATGACACAACTTCGACGAGAGCTTCATATCATTGACGAATACAGTTGGTTTTGTGATCTCTGGGATGACCATGACAACCGAAACGGAAATATACTTCGAACATACCGCCTAACCAAGAAAGACTTGAAGTCTGTAGCTTATGTTTTGAGTAGACCCATTCCCCGATCTTCAAGAAAGATGTTCGCACTTGTTCGTTGTGGCAGCCTGCAATTAAACATAGAAACCCCAGGTACAGTCGACCCGCAGTACCTGTCAACGCTATGGTGAGTCCCTTCTGCCCGGATAAAATAGAAAATGAAATCCATTTACTTGTAGACTGTGATCTGTACAACGCTTTTAAAATGTTAATATTTTACCCTTACATTAACCAATACTAAACTACCGTCCAAAATAAAGTATACCACTAGTTTCGAAAGCCAATTAAAAGACAACAAAACGATTTCAAACAAAAATGTTTTATATTTCATTACAGTTTTCATTCCTGCATTATTTCAACATAAACACAAGTCAGAAATAACAATGATAAAGAAATGAATGAAAAAATGAAACAAACACACGAGGGGTCCAAAATAGATCATAACAAGAAAACTGAACAAACAGAAAGTTTGTCAAAAGGCAAGGTACACAATTTAGAGCCATGTACTGCCTCAGTTGCGAGTATGTCCTCCTTGAGGTGAGGTGAAATTGGGTTTAACGTCGTGCTTGACACTATTTCGCTCATATGACGACGTGCATGCGTGTGTAGGTGTATGTGCGGCTGCTTGTACTAGCCCAGACTTAAGCTGGTTTATTAGGGCTAGCCCACTGAGATACCATGCCGCAGTGAAGCATGAATACCCCACTCAGACACATTATACTGACTCCGAGCCGACCAGTCCTTGTTGTACCCATTAATGCCGAGCGTCAGGCAGGGACCAACAAGTACCATATTTTAACGTCTTTTGGTATGACGTGGTCGGGGATCGATACCGCGACCTTCCGCTCTCCGGGCGGACGCTCTAACCACGACACCACGGAGGAGGTCATGTCCTCCTTGAGCATTGACACAAGCAACAATACGTCTGCTCATGGATGACGTCAAGGGTCTAATGACGTTGCGCGGAATCTGCTGCCAGGTGTCATTCAGGCACTGTTCCAGCTGTCGCACGTTGACTGAGGTTAGGAGCTAAACGTTCTTTAATACGTCTGTAGACACGTTAACCGCCATCGGTTGTGAATACGCAGAACCTGCTCTCGTCCGAAAAGAGGACAAGTGACCAGTCTCGGACTTACCAACGACGAATTTGTCTTGCCCACTGGAGCCTGTTACGCCGGTGTTGTTGTGTCAGTACCACCCAATGGCATGGACGTCGTGCTCGAATACCATGTTCACGCAGTCGTCGTGATACTGCCTGTCGACTGATACGATGTCCGAGTGCCGTTGTTGCCGCTGCTGTTGCCTGGATGAAGCGGTTCCTGAGGTGGATTACCCGGATGTAGCAGTCCTCCTGGGGCGTGGTCACCCGCGGTCTCCCACTTCTAGGTCTGTCTACTGTTTGCCCTGTCTGGCGGAGACGCTGAAACAACCTGGTGATGTATAACCTGGGTGCAGCCAAGGTTCTCTCGATGAGGGTATGTGACCCTCCTTGTTGGGTCATTCCTACGGCTCTCTCTCTGTGTACTGCGGTCAGACGTGGCATTTTTCTTGTGTGTTTTTTATTCTGTGACAATGCCTAGTGTCATGAGCTGCTTTCATACGGTTTTATGCACGTGCATTTTGTGAAGCACGTAAATTATGTGTGAGAGCATCTATATAAGTACGTGTGTTTGTATGTACACATGTATGTGTGTATGTACGTACGTATGTGTTTGTGTGTGTGTGCACGTGTGCCTGTGTAAATGTGTGTGTATATACGTATACGTGTATGTGGGGTGCGTGTAGTATGCGTCTTTGTATGCATGTGTGTGTCTGTGTTGGTACGCGTATGTATTGCGCCTGTAATATGTATGTTTGTATGGATGTGTGCATATATGTTTGTGTGTATATGCGCGTGTGCGTGTGTACGTGTGCATGTGTATATGTGTAGGTAAGGTTAGCGTATGTACGTGTGCGTGTGTAGTAGTATCTGCGTTTGTATGTGTGTGTGTGTGTGTATGCATGTATGTATGTATGTTAGTATTTACTTGTGTGTAAGAATGTTTGTATGTTTGTATGTATGTTTGTTGTATGTATGTTATAAATGTATGCATACCTGTACTTGTTCAGTAAACTTAAAGTGTATACTTTTGCATGTGTGTACATACTGTATGTTTATAATGTTTTTATTGGTTTTAATGTCTCTCATAACCTAACGGGTGATTTCTGTACTTTATATAAGCTTCACCAAAACGTTTGTATTATTTGACTTTTACCAAACCTCTGCCAACTGTTTACAATTTCTCTACTTTTGCGTTTACATTTGTTTTTGCACTGTAATGTATCATATTTTCACTGCAACATCTCCATTTCACTGCAAAATCTCCATTTCACTGCCGTTTGATTGATCTCAATTCGTAAGACAATGAACATTTTGTAATGAAGGCTAGCCAGTTATAACAACATATAATTCCTGCATGTTGAACTGTGGAATGACAAGAGACATCGTTTCCATTCGTTTTTATTTTTCTTCCCCTTCATCCCACCCAAACAGACTGTGGTCTATGCTATATTTTGACGTGGTGAGACTTCTACGACGACAGTGACAACTGCTGAAAACGTAACTGTGTAACTGAAAATTCTACTGAAAGCACTGACACTGCCACGACTTCAATGCAGGCACTGGTTCAAGGTGACCTGTGATGACACCCTTGATGTGTAACACCTGGCCCAGCGCCACCTCTCTTTTCATGTTCTGAACATAGCAATATGACCAGTCATTGATTTTGTTAGCAACCTTTCTCGCCCACCTGTGATGGCACACATTTAAACAATTAGATCACTCTACCCAGGAGATCAATTATCTCACCTTTGATGTGTATCACCTGGCCAAGGAGTGACGTATGCACACGCAGATTGAGTGAGTGATTGCGTACGATTTTAAGTCAAATCCGCAGTATCGTGACTAAAACAATTTATAGATTCATAAATATATAATAATACAGACACATTATAGAAACCTGCCAGCGAAAGACAGTAAGAACAATTAGAATATCACAGATGTAAATTTAAAACATTTATTGACAAAACACGACAAGACAACATAAAACAGGCTATACATAGCCCACAACTGAAGGCAGATCACCAAAGTAGGGATTGTTCAGATTGGAGTGAGTCGGTAGTTAATACTTAACGTAACATTGGTAATATTTCAGCCATATCGTGACGAGACGAGATTGACATATATTCCTTATCTGAATATATAAATAAATATTAACTCATTCATTCATTTATTAAAAAAATGATTACTTTTACAGATGAAAGGTTTGATTTGATTTGGTCTGGCCAATGTGCGCTTAATCAAAACATATGAATCAAATCAAACCCCTTAAAAATCCGTTTAAAAGTTCTTTAAAAGAACTAAACCCAAGCTAACATTGTTGAAACGATCCTGCATTGTCAGTGCTTGTGGTGGAAAACAGACGGACAGTGAGTGAGTGAGCAAAATGTTTTACGCCACATTAGCATTTTTGCAGCTTTTCACGGCGAGAAATATCTTTTCCATGTTACAATATATTAAGGATACAAAGGAGAATGGTTGTGAAATTCACTAAAGTTCTCAGGCAAATATCACATTCTAAGATAAACCTGACTGTTGAGATAAAAGTCTATAATTTGTCATATAATTTGATTTCTTTTAAATAAGCTAAAATTAAATGGTTAGAAACTGTCGTAAAAAGTTCTGCTAAGTTATGAACATTATCACACAAACGCTGACCGACAAGGGCAAAACCAACACAGTAAGGTATGACTAATGACTATGGCAAGGGATGCAATATGGTGCATCTTCACCTATTAATATAAATTAAAGTATTCATAATGACTGTGTCCAATGCGGCACCGATGCAATACAACTTCATCATGTCGAGAGAGACCAGAATAGTTATGACATCCAATGCATGGTTGATTGTGTGGAGCTTATTCAGCTTTTTTGCAAGTAATCATTTACATACTGTCTAATGGAGGGTCGAAGATCAGAATACGGGAATTTGTGCTTGTAGAGGAGTTGTTCAGAGCAGCTTTTGCCGAGGTATCGGCCTTACAGTTGCCACTGATCCCAACAAGACTTGGCAGCCAGCAAAACAAGATATATTTTTCAGCTAATGATAAATTGAGGTGTTTCTTCAAAATTTCGGCTAAAAACGGATGATCCAGTTTTTCTGATTTTTGGATTGCCTGTGAGCAGATAGACTATCAGATGATAGACGAAGCTGCTATTTGAAGATGTTTCAACGTACCTCAAGGCTAATAGTATAGCCTGAGCTTCATCCTCCATCAGTTAGTCGTATTGACCATCTGTTGATCCATTTGTGTATATAGTAGTGTGAGAGGAATACTGGTTCTTCAGTTCATTAAAATCTTGTTGGTAAACCTGTTGCATAGTTTCAGATTGCTTTAGTTTTCATCAAGCAAACTCTATCTTTACCATTACAATCATCATCATCACCATCATAACCGTCATCAGCATCTACACCACCACCATCACCATATCGACATCACCATCACCACCATCATCAACACCACCATCACCACCGTTACAACTACGATCATCACCATCATCAACATCACCATCACCACCGTTACAATTACGATCATCACCATTACTATCATCACCATCATCAACACCACCATCACCACCGTTACCATTACGAACATCACCATCATCAACACCACCATCATCACCGTTACAATTACTATCATCACCATCATCAACACCACCATCATCACCGTTACCATTACGATCATCACCATCATCAACACCACCATCATCACCGTTACCATTACTATCATCACCATCATCAACACCACCATCATCACCGTTACCATTACGATCATCACCATCATCAACACCACCATCATCACCGTTACCATTACTATCATCACCATCATCAACACCACCATCATCACCGTTACCATTACGATCATCACCATCATCAACACCACCATCATCACCGTTACCATTACTATCATCACCATCATCAACACCACCATCATCACCGTTACCATTACGATCATCACCATCATCAACACCACCATCATCACCGTTACCATTACGATCATCACCATTACTGTCATCACCATCATCAACACACCATCATTACCGTTACCATTACGATCATCACCATTACTGTCATCAACACCACCATCACCACCGTTACCATTACGAACATCAGCATTACTGTCATCACCATCACTATCATCACCGTTACCATTACGATCATCACCGTTACCATTACGATCATCACCATTACTATCATCACCATCATCACCATCATCTGATATTTTATATTCAGCAACAGTAGAACGATTTAAATGGGCATTGTTTATATGAGGTTGCTCGCGAATTCCAAATGATGGACTTGTGTTTGGCTTTCTGTCATATAAACGCTGATATGGAGGATAAAATACATTCGTAAATACTGAAGAAGTTTATTTCAGTTTGTAGGCCATCGGCGCATGTACAAAAAAGCAATACAAATGATATTGTGCACAATGGCAATAGGCAGACATTTGTGTTGTCAAGTTATAGAAGATCGACATTTAAGAAATGATTTGAAACATTTAGCTCAATTAAAGTACCATGTCATTAGAAGTTATTAACTTTATGAATTTACAGGCATTTGTTAAATTATTCCATAGAGGTAAATACGTTTTTGGTAGTGTTACATATTTATCACATTCAAACAGGAAGTGGACTTCATCTTCATTTCTCTTACTATTACACATCTTACAAATTACATCATAGTTCATAGTTTCCTTCCATCTAATATTACATAGTAATGGTAATGCATTGAATCTTAACAAACATAAATATCGTCTTAAGTCTCTTACATTAATTGTTAAAATATGATTATCAAGCACCAATGATGATATAATACTTTTAAGACTGGATGAATCCATGATTTTGCTACTGATATCTATATCAACCAACCTCTGCCTAAATACTGATAAAAATAATGACACATTTCCGATGTCTTGGGAAAGCCAAACATAACCAAATCCATACTCTTCTAAAAGCTTACGTATATTTGAAACCCAAGTAATCCTACCTACAGAATCTAATCTAAGTATATAATTATAACATTGTCTAGGATAACGATCATTACACATTCTTAATAGTTTACACCAAAATGTAACACGTTTAAGATGATAATCTACATTCATGCTATATCTTCCACATTCAGCTAATGCTGCATTACTTGATATATGGTTACCTACCCCTAAAACAATTTTACAAAAATTATTATGAAATTTATCAACAACACTTCTTTCCTGATATCCCCACACCTCTGCCCACTATTGGTTTTATTTTACAGTCAAAAGGTTTGAACACATAAACAGGGATACTTCTAAAATTATGATGTAATTGTTTTATAACTAATAAGGCTTTACTGGTTTTTGCCAGTAGCGTCTTGGTACAAACACTCCAAGATATACCGAGATACCAAGATAATTATAACATGTAGCGGGTTTTAGTTGTACGCCATTGTAAAAGCATTTTTCATAATTTCGAAGGTAACACCCCACTTCGAAATACTAAAATCTCTAAAATCTGCCATATCTATATTTACCTGCAACTGCACAAGATGTCGATTGTCCTTTGCAGCCCAACCACACTATATCATCAAAAACACATAAATAATCAGCATACAATAATAATAACAACTCTAAATATTGTTCACCGATATATATACCTCTGACGTCAGAATCTTATTATCAAAGATTGCCCGTGAAGGTCCGGGTTAGAATGAACCTTCAGTAACCCATGCTTGTCGTACGAGGCGACTAACGAGTTCGGGTGGTCAGGCTCGCTGGCTTGGTTGACACGTATCATCGATTCCCAATTGCGCAGATCGATGCTTATGCTGTTGATCACTGGATTGTCTGGTCCAGACTCGATTATCTACAGACCGCCGCCATATAGCCGGAATATTGCTGAGTGCGGCGTAAAACTAAACTCACTCACTCACTCTATCATAGATTGAAATTCTGAGATAAACATTGAAAATATAAAATGGACAGATGGCCCATTCTTGTCTTACTCCACTGAAGCAATCATAATACTCTGTTATAAAGTGCCCGAAGAAGCTTTTATTTCAGAATACAAAATTTGTAAAACCAGCAACAACTTTCCTTGAACCCTTTTTTTTCAAAACTGAAAATCATAACAAATTTCTATTAACCGAAACGAAAGCCTTTTTGAAATCCACATACAAACAGAAAAATCTACCACCACTTTTAGACAGATATTTTTGGACAAGGCATTGTAAAGTAAACACATTATCCAGTGTACAATATCCCTTTCTAAATCTCGCCTGCGACTCCGGAATACTGCTGCAGACGTTTACTGACAATTATCGAAAAATATTTCCAAAAGAATCCATGAGGCATATATCCCGATAATTATCCCCACAGTCATACCGTCCCTTCTTTTAGAGTGGTACAGCCAAACCTTCGCACCACTCAGTAGGAAAAGTACCTGTAGATAGAATATTATTGTACAACATTTGTATACTGAACAGCAAAAGAAACGCAAGTCTGGCTTTTTGTCACTTTACCATGAACGTTCAATCAACATGAACGCTTACGTTTATGAGATTTCATTTTTTCGAAACTTGCGTTTCCTTTGCTGTTCAGTATAGATACGGAACGAGAAGACCATGAATCATCTCGGCTAAGACAACACCCGGATTTTTTATGGCAGATTCAATCTCTACCTACTTCCACGTGACAATAGACCACACGAGACAGCACCACTCTGCATCACTCCAGTGAGCACCTGCACAGCAGAGTCAACACTTTCCTGTAATATATACTATCCCAAGAGAGAGACGCATAAGCGTTTTGTATTTTTAAAAATCTATAAATTACTTATTGTGTTCAGACAATATGTAACGAAAGTGTTGATAACATGATTTTACACAATTGCACAAGTGAAAAGTCAACTTTTCCTGAAAATGTTGATTTTGATGAGATTTCTCACAAGAATAAAAAAAGCATCGCCACAATGCAACAGAAATTACCTTCCAGTTGAAATTGTGCAGCTAAGAAAATGCACTGTCTGGCTATAAAAATCCAGATTACTTTCGGAAATCGGCATTCGTTTTGAAGGAGTTTCAAGGTCAAAATCACTACGCCAAGCCTTGACTCTGCGACACGGAACATCGCCATTGAAAGAATGCACGCTGAAAATTACCAGTTTTGTGTTACCAGGCGTGTGAATGTTAGTCTGAGCACGATATCACCGCTTGCAGCCGTTACAACCAAACAGGTATAACAAATGACCGTCTCCGTACAGGCAGACCTCGAGTCGGTACATCCAGGTTCTACATTTGCGTGATCGTACTGCCACGTGTGAGAGCACAGCAGCCAGGGTGACTAGGCTTGGGAGGATATCCGATCAAACTGTACGGAACAGGTTGACAGAGATTGGACTGAGAGCCAGGAGACTCGACGTCGGGACCATGCTATGTGGTCACCAACGTGCTCAACGTCTCCGTTATCTGAAATAATCACTTTGTCTAAACTGATGTAAAAATTCATGTACTAAAGTCTATTTGTGGACGAGTTATACATGTTAGAAAAAAAACACATTTTCGCAACAGATTTCTGGGTTATGCGTTTCGTTTTTGGAATAGTACGTATACAAGTAAACTTATCAACATCAAGGGATGTAAGAAACTGGACAACATTATGCAGATACTCGTCACATATTTCCTTTGTGTAGGAATACCATAAACGCATTTATAAATGCTGGATCACCAGTATTGGAGTGAAGTTTAATGATATATTGCGATGGCAATTCAATTCGTCACAAACTAAGACAGGGTCCATTGGTTTCTATATAGAGACTTTCAGTGGGAGAGGCCCTACATGCTCCAAGACGTAGCCGAAGTCACTGATGATAAATGGTGTCAAGTTCTCGAAGATATGATTTACGAGCTGAACCGTAAATGAAACAGCCATAATCGAGTTTTGATCTGATCAAAGTTCTGTAGATATGTAGCAGTTTTCCTTTATCCCCAACCCATTTAGCATTTGACACCACCTTTAAGATATCCAGTGCCTTTAAACATCTAGTTCGAATGTACTTTTAATATATGAGGTATAAAATATAATCTTTTATCAAAAGTAATTCCAAAAACTTGGTTTCTTGGACTACTGTAATAAGAGTATTAGTCAAAGTCCATTATAGATCGTTTTGTAGCTTACGTTTATTCCACAAATGAATACAGCATTTTTGGATTTGGAAAACCTAAAACCGATTTCCAGAGACCATTTATGTATTTTATTGGGACACAATTGTAATTGTCTCTCAATGGTATTCATATTACACCACGGCATGATACATAAAATTATCAACAAATAAGGAACCATCTGTATTTTCATTCAAAACATAAGCAATGCTGTTGTGTTCTCCTAAACAGTGTCACTGACAACATACTCCCCTGTGGAGCCCCCATTTCCTGATCAAATATTTCAGATAATGTGGAGCCCATCCGATCGTTAAATGTTCGATCTTCTAAAAATCGTGAGATAAAATCAGGCATACGACCACGAAGGCCCATATTATGGAGGTGTTTCAATTTACCATATACCATTGCGTAAAAATTAAGCCAATCTAACGAGATGATCGATGGCGCTTCTCTGATGCCTGAAACCAAACTGAATATGAGTTATCAATTTGGTGGATTCCAGACACCAGACAAGACCCATGTAGATCATTCGCTCCATGGGTTTGCAGATGCAACTTGTTAACGCTACTGGACTGTAATTAGAAGCGTTCATATGGTCCTTCGCTGGTTTGGGTAAAGGAATAATAATACTTTCATGCCAAGAAGGGGGAAATTGCCCGTTTCCCAAATATCGTTAAAAATGAATAAGAGGGCTAAAAGAGATCATTGTGGGGCTTATGTAGATGCTTTTATAATTGAAAGTCGACTTCATCTGGCCCTGAAGCTGTATTGTGGGCTTTGATTAAGGGAACCTTGTGGTTCGCCTAAGGGAAAAGATTCATTGCAGTCTTCTGAATTATCAGATTTGAAATTCAGAATCTTCTTTTCCTCGTGATTTTGATACAGATAGGCACTGAAATAGTGAGCCCAAGAAAATCAATTTCAACAGTTAGTAAGCATGGATTGCTGGAGACATAAATGTTTCCCGGGTTTTTATGGGTATATGAACAGTGAAAATATCCTGACAGAAAATATATGTCGTAACATATGGTATACCTATCAACTTTGTGATTCAAGAAACAGAAGATGTTTAAAAAAATCACTCAATCTGTTACTGTCAGGACCTCTGTTCCTATGAATATAAAATGACAAAGATCGACGGTCCGACAGATCACCTGTACCAATAGACGATTCACTTTGGTCTGCTCTGCTTTCGAAGATCACAGATGATGAAATACTACGTTGTTGCGATCATGTGCTTTGCAGGTAAGCTCATTACCAAATGGTTCAAATCTATATTTTGTTTAACTTGATGTGGGACTTGGCAATATTCCAGATATATGAAAGTAATATTTAAACCTAGGCATCTGGCAGACCAACCAGTGATCGGTATGAATAACATTCCACAGTGTCAGATTTCAACGAGATGCAATGAATTTGAAGATTTCAGAAGGAAAAAGTATGAATTTAATATGGGATTATTAAATACACGAATAGATTTGAAACGTCTTCACTTGTCAAATTGTTATCTTCTTGAACGTTTGCGGGTTTGTTTTTCTTCTATTCTGTTGCTTTTCGTGATCTAAGCATCACACCGTTGTGATATTCCGTTCTGATTACCACTGTCCAATGGAACAGCACTCTCTTTTCTGACTTCATCATGTGTGCGCCATGATGTAGCCATTCAAATTCTGTGGTATCTTAAAAAGTTTCAATTATCAGGATATAAATTGGTCTGACATAAAGTATTAATGTCCGGCCAGTGAGCTTTAGTGAACTGCCGTTTAGCTATCGATACCACTCCCGAGGGATTGACAGTCTCGAGTATTGAAGGGAAATGTCCCCCACACAATAACACACATAAATCATTATTGACAGACAGTGAGAGTGAGTGCGTGAGTTATGATTTAAAGCAACATCTGCAGTATTTCAGCCATATCGTGAGTCAACAAAGTTATCGACATATTATTAATTGAAGGCAAATTATAAAATTCTGTCAACGGAGGACAGTAAAATAACTAGATTATCACAGGAATAAATGTAAAACTAGTAATCTTATCTGAATTATATTAACTATACATGACAATACAATATAAAAAGAGTCTTTTGATTGCCAACAAATGAAGGGAGATCACCATGCTACATGTAGGGACCATGGGGACTTACGGGACATTTGCTTCCTGCATGGACCCTAGCTGGATTTACATCATCCCTTCAGCCGTTGGCAATTTAGCAAATCTAGCCATACATTAAAAAGACACGTATTCTACGATTAAAACAGTGTTAAGGTTTAATTTACTTTGAATGGTTTGGGACTTATGTACCCTCTCAGAAGGACAATAAGAACTTATTGAAAAGAGGTTGATTAGTTACAGTTGAGTTCAGAGCGGCGCCACGTTTACGGATAATCCCTTTGCTGAAGTTGGGGGACTTATGAGCTTAACCTTTTATCCTGATATCAGCAAGTTTGGTTGATTCTAGAAGGTTAGGGGCTTGCCTTCGTGTCTTGCATTCAACCAGAAGGGCGCCAGATTTCAATTTTTTAACATCAGGTGCATCTCCAGCCTTACCTTTTATAGATTTTTTATAGCAGAAGTCAACTTGCAATCGATGTTGATTCTAGGCAGTTATAGATTTGATTAATAAACAGTAAAATAATGACAAAGTTCAATGAATGTCTAGCCAAGACCCTAAAATCATAAATTCAAAAACGTTGTGCAACTGAAATACACTGCACCCGGCTTGACATGACCAGCCGATTTGGAGAACCTAGCCCATTCTACCACAGGTCTAGGTGCACTAAGGGTCGAAGTGGATTATTGGGCAAAGGAACGCTAGTCCTGAAACATATGCCCTCAACCACCGGAATCCTGTAATCCACCAACACAGGGACGCAACCCACGGTAAACAGGTTGCTCAATTTGGTCGCATTCTACGACCAGCAATGGGGTGCTGTGGACCAATTCTGCCCCGGGCCCACACCGGGGAAGAGCTTGACAAAATACTTCAGTAACATCCTAATTAAACCAAGGCACTGACAAATTTGTGCCATATTGTGACGATACATGTGAAACATTAATAAATATAGAACAGTACACACACACACACACGCACACACGCGCGCACGCACGCACGCGCGCGCTCACAATATACACACACACACGATTCTTTGGCGCGCTGGGGCATTTCTCTCGGATTGCCAGTGCCTGCATCACCGAGTTTTGTCCTTACATTTTGCAGATGTCGGACGACGTTCGGCGGACGTTGTTTGGGTCGTGCCGCCGACATAATTTCGAAGGGTTTAGTTCATCATGGATCAGTTGACTACCACCCGGCGACTGGCTAGCGTCGACAGGGCGAGCGTTTTTTCTCGTGTGTTTGTTCATGAGATTGACCTCCGGATAAGCTTTCAATTGCAGCGTCCCTTCGTTGTCGATTTTGAACTTCGGATAGTCGCGACCCAATGGCTCGACGTAATTTTTATCGCGCTTTAAAGCATCGTTATACTCGTCCACAGCCTGCTTTAAAAGATCGTTGCCCACGGTGTCCCCATGAAGGAGGTGTCCATGGCTGCTGCTGCATCATCATGGTACGTCGAAATCGTCCATGGGAATATTGTCAGCCATTTTACATTAAACTTATAATATATTTAGTTTCAATATATAAACAATGTCACAATATGGACGAAAGCTAGATCCTTTCCGAAAATCGAGAGAGACGCTCGCTGTCAAAGCCGTGCGTCAGTCAGTGACCATCACCAACAATCCGAGCACGATCAATCAAAACCAAACGCTGCTGGTTCGATTCCCCAACCTAGGCACGAACGACGTCATCGTCCCTAGCAAGACTCGACTGGCTTTTCACATCACGTTGGAGTCAGCGAACGACAAACGCACGATCGTGAACAACCTGGGCCGTGCCATCGTCAAGAAAAATAAGCGGGCACAAGGTGCTGAGCATCGACGACAGCGAAGTGTTTTACTGTTACGAGGACCTCTGGAGAACCTCGGAAGAACGCGATGACATGGCGTATCAAGGAATTAGTCGGAATAACGACGTATTGAATGAAATCCGTGTGGGGTACGGTTTCACGTAAGACCATCTCGGCAATATAACAGCAGGAGAAATAGCCGTCGCCGAGGCATACAGGAATCGGTTTTGCATACCGCTCGACTTCGAGCTTCTCAAGGGGCAAATGCAGTTTTACCAGGCCGCGTTGGGGACAGGCTGGAATACGAACTCACGTTCAACGACTACGGCAAAGTTATCTTCACGCCGGACGGCACCGAGGCCAGCTACGTCGTCAACAACATCTCACTGGAGTTCGACATGGTCACGAACACGAATCTGGCCCGGCAGATTCGCACCCAGTACTCGAAAAAGCTGTCCATCCTGTACGACCGCATGTTGCGGCACCGGACGATCGTCAGGGACAAGAGTGAAACGTTGTGAAACATCAACCTGAATGTGCAGGCTCAATCGATGAAAGGCATCTTGATTCCGTGGCGGAATACAAGACGTTTCAAAGAGACAGCAAACTCACTTGGAAACCCGAAATCCCGAAAGTGAAAAGTGACCTTCGAGGGTGTGCCCAACCAGCTGTTCAGCCAAGGCATGCGAGCTTACCAGCAGTGGGACGAGATAAAGAAAACTACCGGCCATCAAGCAACACTCGCCTGAAGTCAACGACGTTGTCAAAGACCTGGGTTTCACCTACATGACGGTCAGTAGGTACCTGGATAAACATTACGCACTGTGGCTGGACATGCGGACGACGACAGACTAGAACTGACATTACAAAAATCCTTCATAGTTCATGATTTAAAACAGATATCCCTTGTGATGGAATATTTTCAACACAGTCCAAGTGGTGACACATGCTTGACCATGATTCTTTCATCACAAGGGATTACAAATCGAGGATCCTCACCTTTCAATAGGTACTCATAAGTATATCTTATGTGGCCAATACGACATCGTCGTATGATGACCTCTTCAAATCTGGACTGACAACCCAAGTAGTTGTAACCGATAGTTGGTTTTATTGCATTGTAATTTATTGACACCAACTTGGAAGTCCCACTTCTTTGCATCAAATCTGGCGGATGTAAGGTTCTAATGCTCGCTTTGCTTAATCAGAAGTGGGGGGATAAGAAGTGGTGTCACAGATTTGTTGAGAGCTGCTTTGGCAGCAAAATCGGCCATTATTCATTCCCAGAAATGCCAGCGTGGCTGGGTAACCAACATAGTACGATGTCGTATTGGCCAGTTGCAAGATCATTATATAGTTCCATCGTCATTCTCTGCCCGACTTTACGGGTGAACAAGACGTACACGGAGAGACCGTGGGTGATGACGGACCCGGACGTGCACAAAATCGATCCTGGAATTCGTCTGCAGGACTGGTTGCGCGCTTACCACGACAAACTGAAAGGAGAATCGACGCTGTTCATCCTGGACGACTGCAGCGCCAACAAGGAGATGGTTAAAAAACGAGATGCGCTGTCGTACCTGGCCTTCTCGGGCCGACACACGAAGCACAGCGTTTGGGTTCTGACGCAGAAATTCAACTCGGTGCTGAAAGATTTACGGGAACAGACGCGATGGGTCGCCCTGTTTAACTGCAAGGACAGGGATTCGTTCGAGGACTGCTTGCGAGAAAACGACGTGATCCCGAGCAAACAAGAACGAGAACGAGTGAAGAAACAGCTCGCCGAAACGAAACACGCCAAACTCCTGTTGAAAACCGACCAACCCGTAGTGTATAAAGTCTGCTAGCTTTTAAGCAAAATTCAAGCAAAATTCAAAGCAAATTCTAGCATAACTCAAGCAAACTTAAGCCGTTGTTCGAAACACTCATCGTGTGCAACTTGACTTTCATCTCGCTGTGTTTCGCGTGCATCGGATTTTATTTTATTAGACTTAAAAATCGTTTGTTACATTATAAGATGGAGTGCGACGAACTGCTCAAACAAATGTTGGATGATGATGATAATAATAATAAAACGACAAGCGAGAGAGACTGGTGGCGCTCGCGGTCGGCGGCAAAGCCAAACAATAGTTGGGGGTGGGGAGCGACTTCACTCCCGATAAAATTCACAAAATGCCAGCTGAAGAAATCAACAAGCTGTACGCGAGATACAAAGCCTGACTCGGCGCCGAAATGACAAAACCATAGGGTCTGTCATAACACAAGTCTACGCCGGCGTAGCGTCGTACTTCCTTCCCATTCCGCCGGAACGTCGACTTTACCTGTGGGAAGATCTCGAGAAAGATCCGTTCATCGACCACGCTTTGAGCGCCGTCAGCTGCGTGCTGTACCACAGATACGGCATGTTTTTAGCTCTGATGACCGCGGCGATCATCACGGCAAAGCATTGTCAATTTAAAGAAGAAAAAAATAATAATGATAATAATATACAACATGGATGCGCACCAGGAGGAGGAAAAACGTCAACACCAACAGAGGAGGAAGCAACGACGACACCGATACGACAAGTCACCACCACCAAGAATCCTAAAAAAGTCGCCGCCGGTAGAAAAGGTGGTTTAGCCAAGCACCACAAAAATAATAATACTCCGTGGATTGTTGCCGCCATGGCAGCAACGGGATTAAGCGTGGTCGTAGTCGTCGTTATGTTGCTATATAATAATAACAAGCAACCACCACCACCAACACAACAGCAGCAGATTACGAATACAATTAGAATGTTATGTTATGTTATGTTATAAAAAATATATAAAATATATATATATATTATATATACACACACGATGTCATCTGAAGGAAAAACATTCGTCAACGATGCATATCACGCCGCCGTGGTCGCTGGACTAACCGTAGGTTACGCTCGCTTAACGAAAATGGTTCTCAAACAGCCTACGATCAAACTCGATTTCAACGTGCAGGACATGGGCATGCTCGTCATGGACTTAGGGATGGCGATGGCCACCAAGGACATTCTCGTGAAACAAGGAATTATACCGGAAAATATTTTGAAGTAATATTATAATATTTTTAAAAGAAAAGAAATGGCTACGATCGCCATGATGGTCGGTGGTGCATTAGTCAATGCCCTCGCATTTTCAGGCAGCAATTATCTCTTCTCCAAATTACAAACGTCGAACGCGGCCGAAATGGAAGCGGAACGTAAACGTCATGATTTGGCCTTGGAGAAACTGCAAGCCGCGCAAGCCGAGTACACCCAAAAATGCGTGCAGAGAATACAGTTCATCAACGACCAACTCTTGTGCGAAAACCACGCCGTTCAAACGTTCAAGAACGTCGACAACGCCATGCAAGAATACTACCTGCTCACCGGCAAACGACTCGAACCCCTTGGCAACGAACCCACGCTCTTACAGTTATACATGCCTTCCACGGAACAGAAAGACTGGGAACTGATTTTCGTGGCGCTGGGTCTAGCGGTGACCATGTTCATCGCCAAACAATTAGACTAAAATATGTTTATGTGTATATATAAAGATGAGAAGAAGTGCACCGTATAACTGCAAGTATGTGCTGCGCGGAAAAACCGAAACCTGCGGCAAGAAATGCACCACCGAATATTGCGGCATACACATGATGTCCATATGAAATGGTTTCGTGAATTACACGTGCGAAATGTGCGGCGTTGGCGTGAAATGCCATTATCGTCGTTGCAAAGCCCACAGAGCGGACGTGGTACGAGGTCATCTCATCTACTTGATGAAAAGAGACTATCTCAACGAACACAACCGACAGCTCAGAATAAAAATCGAACATGCATCACGAAAATCACTTCTTCTTTTTTAAAGTCGGTGGAAAGTTTAACTATCCAACGTATTGACGGGGTTGCTTACAATTAACAGTGAGACATACTTCGCACACCAACAAAACTACTAGAGATTTTGACTTCACAGCCGAACATAGCAATGAAAATCCTATTAGAGATTTGACTTCACACCTGACTATAGCGAACAACCTATTAGAGATTTGATTTCGCATCTGAATATAATTATTTTTTCATTTAGAAAAAGTTTTTCACACATTGATACAGCAACGATGATTACCGTTCGAGTAAATCTCTGCTGCTGATATTGCTCAGCATGAAAGACGAACCTCCTCAACCCACGGAAAAACAGCTAAAACTCCGAGCGAAAGAGCGTGGGCTCAGAGGTTATTCGTGCATGAGGAAAGCCGAGCTCCTCAAACTGCTGGAGGAACACAAACCCGTCGAACTACGGTTCGTGCGGACGAAGCACGCCGTAGGTAAGTATCTGAAAGGCTGGAGGATGGACGTCAACAA